CTCAAGTGCTTAATTGCCTCATGTGGCCAGGAGCTACTGTATTAGACAGCACAGCTCTATGTACCAGATTGTGAGCTTATCTTATTCATCTCTGTGTCTGCAGCAACTAGCCCACCTGGGACATAGAGATGCTCAACAAATGTTTGATGATTGAATAGTACACATTAATGAGAACAACTACAAGTATGTTAAACAGGTTACCTTCTCCATGGAAAAGATAGTTCTGTTTAAAGCATGAAATCTAAAATCCCTTTACTATTAATAAAATGATTTTGTAAACTGAGAACACAGTGTAAGTATGTTAAATATCAGATTTGGGGGATATGATCAACAAGACAGCATGTATTAACAGCAATAACCAAACAGGCAAGACATGCAGGCAATTCACAAAGAAGAAATACAAAAGTCTTATAAACATTTTGAAAAATATTTGTCCACAGTAGTAACCACGGAATTGTAAGCAGAATGATGTATTATTCTTGCCTATGTAAATGTCAAGAATTAAAAAATGATGTCTTAGTGCTGGCTAGAATCTGCAGATGAAGACTATTTTAAAAATACAGAACATTTTGGAGGTAATATGAGAAAATATATCCAAAATCTTAAAAATGTGCACATTATCACATCCAACCCTTTACCCTCATCATACAATCCCTGGAAATGTGCACAGAGAGACATTCTGCTTCCAGAAATTAATCCTATGGAAACAATCAGAGGTGTGCCCAAAGATATGAATCTATTCATAGCACTAGCTTTTGTGAGGGAGGGAAAAAGGTAAAAGCCTAAGTATTCAACAATAAGATTAATTAAATAATAGTACATGCATATAATTAAAAACTTATCCAACCAATAAACACATTTTGAAAAAAGATTTAATGACATGGGAAAACATTAAGTAGATTTTGAAAAGGAGGTACAGTGTAGCTCCAATTTTATTAAAAACATGTTTATATCTCTATTAAAAATCTAGTGATTATCAGTGTGCTAATAGTGCATATCTTTGGATAATGATGCTGAAAATAAATTTTATTTTACCTTGTGTTTTTCTGTATTTCTAGCCTTCCTACAATGTACATATGTTACTTTTGCATTAGGGAAAAAATGCAGTATATATTATTTTTATAAGGCAGAAGAAAACAGGGCAACTTTTAATTTTATGCCATTTATTAGTTATTTCTGAGGACAAGCAAGGTGGCATTTCTATTCCCAGCCATATGTTTCCGATAATGAGCAAGATGTGGCAACTCAGCGTCCAAAATTACGGGAGGGCTTTGGACATTATTGGTTAAGAAACTAACATTACAAGAAATCTTTGGACATCATTGGTTATGAAATTATGTTGGCTTCATAGGAAGATGAAGATATGACTGTTTTATAGTGTGACTTACTTGTAGTCAAAGGGATGTCTCAATTTTGGTGCTCCTTTGTGGTTGGCTTTCTTTCTTAGGACTGCAACTCTCTTTCACATGTGGGCAAGAATTATCAGTTAAAGGAAGACAAGGAAGTCTGAGGTATCAGTTACAGGCTTTCCTTCACTAATATTTAAAAATGTAAATATTAAAAAGTAAAAATAATACTGGACTAGGTAACGGTTACAGTCACAGATTAGCCTAAAACATGAAATCCAGGACGATTGCCCATTTTATTATAAAGCAATATTATAATAACCTATCACCCATGACATATCTATTTTTTGCTTCTTCAGTTTTCATTATATATATATATTTTACAGTTTTAACAATGTGTACATGAAAACAATCTATATTTTTATTATGGCACCTTTTATTGTGATTTTTTTATATGTTGTTAAGTGATATTAATCATTTCTAATTATTGAACCTAACACTAAGTCTGGCAAGTACTTAATGTTAGCTCACTGATGGATGATAAATCACAAATATTTATTGAGTACCCACAGTGTGATATATTGATGCTATTTTAGGGAGTAAGACAAAGTCCCAGTTATCAAGGAATCTTCATTCAAGTAGCTGGAGACACGATTTTTAAATCCATGAAAAGGGTACTATTATTAGCTTCATTTGAGAAACTGAACCACAGAGAGATCAGGTCACTGGCCCAGGATCACCCAAGTGGCAGGTGTTAAAGCAGAGATTTCAACCCAGGCAAGCTGTTTTCAAGCCTTGCAACTCCTCCACTGATGCCAACAAAGTGCCCCAGCAGTTCAGGGGACAGGTCAACCAGAACATTACCATAAATTTAGTGGTTTAAAATAACACAAATTTATGATTTTAAAATTCTGGAGGTCAGAAGTCCAAATTCAGTTTCACTGGGTTAAAGTCAAGGTGCCTGCAGGGCTGTTTCTTTCTAGAGGCTCTAAGGGGAACTGTGTCCTTGTTTTTTTCAGCTTCTAAAGGGCACCTGCATTCTTTGGCTCATGACCCCTTCCTTGTATCACTCTAACCTGCTTCCATTGTCACATCTCCTACTAGTGTCTCTGACCTTCTTGTCTCCCTCGTATAAAGACCCTTGTGGTTACTTTGCACCCACCTGGATAAACCAGGCCATTCTCCCTGCCTCAAGCCCTCAATCACATCTGCTAAGCCCTTTCACGATATAAGTTAATACATTGACTGGTTCTGGGGATTAGGACATGGACATCGTTGCAGGGTTTTATTCAGCCTGCCATTGTTATGGACACCTTAAGGGTTAACATGTGTGCTGCTTCAGGCCAAAAAGTAGGCTAGGTGTGGAGAAGTTAGAGCTTCCTAGTGAACTTCATTTGCAGTCTTTTCTGTGCCAGGTTCAGTACAAGGGCTTTGTAGTAAGACTGATAGGGCTGTCATAACAAAATACCACGGACTGGGTGGCTTAAATAACAGAAGTTTATTTCCTCAAAGTTCTGGAGGCTGTAAGAATGAGATCAAGTGTTGGCAGGATTGGTTTCTGGAAGCCTCTTTCCTGGGCTTGCAGGTGGTCTTCTCCCTGTGCGTTCACAGTCCTCTCTTCGTGTGTGCAAGTGTCTAGTATCTCTGTGTGTCCAGGTTCCCTTTTATAAGGAGACCAGTTATAATGGATTAGAAACATTTAAACTTTATAACCTCCTTAAAGACCTTATCACCAAATACAGTTAAATTCTAAGTTACTGGGGGAATACAGTATATGAATTTGGGGGAATACAATTCAGCTCATTACAGGCTTTAACATGTCAGCCTCATTTAATCCTCACACAGCCCACGTTTGACACATGAGAATTTGGTGACTGAGGTGATTTGTCACTTGCCTGAGGTCTCTCAGCTGGCAGGTGTCAGAGGGAATGTTCACACGCCAGCCTGTCTGCTCCAAAGGCCAGGCCCTCACCATCTTTCTTAACACCTGTCAAGCATTGTGAGGACAGAAGGGCTGGAGGAGTGTGACCAGGGATAGTGAAGGGACCAACCCAGAGGCAAGAGTGTATGTTGATTTGGGGGAAATAGTAGGGTGTGGCCGGTCTCAGGAGGCTTTTACAATCTAGAAGAGCATAGAGAAATTTAGCAAAAATTGCAGAGGGAGAGGCGGTACTTGTCACAATTTTCACACTCCAGCAAGATTTTCTGTGGCTCCCATCTGACCTCCACTCTCACCATAAACTTATACTAGCTAACTGTTCAGTTTATAGCCTCATGATGACTCTGCAGCAGAAAACTAGGGCAAGGGCTCTCTTCATGGAATGAACTTCCCGAGAGCAGACTGGTGATTTCCCCTATCTTAAGTTACAATGCCCCTCATGGCTGTGTGGGGACAGACAACCCTGACATGAGATTGATGGCGGCTGTACTTGACTGCAGCCCTGAATGGTTTTAAGTCCATGATTTCAGAGTCTAGTAAATTGTACTTCAGCTTCCCTACTCCCCATCTGCTCCTTACTCATTTATATTACTTTTACAGACTTTCTACCTGGGAGAAGAAAAGAGAAATAAAAAAGAACTAAAATTATTTGATTAAATTTAAGCAGCTTTTTGACAGCAAGCGAAGCTATGTATTTTTACCTGTACTCTCCTCTCCCCATTTAACACAAATGGCTGTGGAAGTTTTATCATTTCTAAGATTTGTTACATATTAACTTCCATCAGCTAACTCTTACTATGAAAATAAAAGAAAATGGAAACACATTGCATTTTACCTCCTTAAATTGGAATCTGTGCTAATAGGTTAACATTTTAAAATATAGGGTGATCTGAAAATTATGTAGCCATCCTGTACAGAATCATTGCCCTTTTAGACACTGGAGATTTTTTCCAAGTGGAAAAAAGATTCTGCCTTAAGGCTTCCTCCAGGGTACAAAGTAGGAGGTGCTAAAGCAGGCCTCTTTGTGTTACCCAGATTCCCTTTGGTCTGCTACGTCACCATTTATCTTTCTCAACATTTTAATCGAGTCCAAGCCTGGAAAATAGTATTTAGGGATCAACATTTTTGTGCTATGAGAAATGGTGTATTTTAAAGAGGTATAACCCTTCCTAAGCTCAAACACTTTTTTTTTTTTCCCCCTGATTCTCACTTCTGTTGTTAAAGGTATCCCTTCTGGCCCTGGCTGGTTTGGCTCAGCGGTTGGAGCATCAACCTGTGGTCCAGAGAGACCCGGGTTCGGTTCCTGCTAGGGGTGCGTACCTTGGTTGCAGTTTGTCCCCGGCCCTGGTTGGGTCGTGCAGGTGGCAACCACTCGATGTGTCCCTTTCACGTCGATCTTTCTCTCTTTCTCTCTCTCCCTCCCATTCTATTTGAACAAAAAATAGAAAAATGTCCTCGGGTGAGGATAAAAAAAAAAGGTATCCCTTCTGTTTAATCTCTGTACTTTTTAAAACTGATTTTTAGAAAGGAGGGAGTGGGGAGAGAGAACAACATTGATGTGAGAAACATCAATCGGTTGCCCCTGGTACGTGCCCTGACCAGGAATTGAACCCTTCTGGTGTATGGGATGACACTCCAACCAACTGAGCCACAGGCCAGGGCTAAAATCTGTATTTTTATTCTTATTACTATATTTTCTAAAATATTGTGTACATTTTTCCAAATAAATCTTTTCTAAAGAAAAAAATAGGGTATTTGTAAGACAGCAGAAAGCAATATAGATTTAAATGTTATTTGTCCTGCTGCAATGTCAGAATTAGATAAAACAGAAACCAACCCCATTTCCTTATACGGTATGTTTCTATTTCTTCTCTTCAACTCATTGCAGCTATAGCAGAGCACAATTACAGCTGCTCCAGCTGTCCGAAGGCTAGCCACTCACTCTCAGTATTTGCTGAATAAAAAGCTAACTGCATCCTCCTCTGCCCATCTATCAGTGCCTGGTGAGGGCTCTGTGTTAGCTACATCATCATCATGCAGACCAGCCTTTGTTGCTGCCCACAACTAACATACACAAATGACTGCCTCCCCACACACCCCACTGTCCATGACAGTCACTTAAATAAGTAAACACATTTTATGTTGATAGTGATAAAAAGCAGTAAAGAGCAAGGGGATAGGAGGTGTAGATCATATGCATATATAAAATTTAACAAACTGTGCCTAGGAAAAGCCTCTTTGAGAAGGTAATATTTAGGAAAAGAATTGCAGGGAAGGACTAGGACATGATTCAAGCAGAGCACTGCAGGCAAAGAAACTGTAAATGCAAAGAAAGGCCCTGGGGTAGGAGTCTGCTCAGCCTGCTGAGGGGCAGTGAGGAGGCCAGAAGGGCTGAAAGTAGTATGAGAAGAGTGGTCACAGACAAGGCCAGATCATGGAGTTCTAGAAAGTAGTAGGACTTTTAGTTTGTACTGAGTGTCCTGTGAAGACCCTGGAGGGTTCTGAGCAGAGGAAAGACATGGGTTGTAAGAACATCACCGTGGTGGCTGTGTTGAGAACATTCTGAAGGGGGCAAAGGAACAGTACACTTAACCAACATGCCACTATCCTATAAATTACAATCAGATAAAGAACGGAATAAATAGAAATTAAACTTGTTCCTGGTGATTGCCTGTCTGCTTATTCTGGTCACTATGGCTACACCCAGAGACCTGATCTCCCGAATAAACACGAGGGTTGCTAACAATAGCAGTATGCATGGATATAGTAGGAAAAAAATTATTTACTTAAATTCTCCTAAAATATAAAAAACAGAATCTTTTTCTGAATTACAGCTTTTGGAGTGAGTAAAGGTCACAATAAATAAAAAATAAGCCCCAACTTTCTATGGCAGCTTTAATTTTTCCCTAAAGAGAGAGTCTATTTTTCCTATAGACTTTCATTTAGATGAGATACATGTCAGGTTTCTTTCATAATGCCCAAACTCATACAATTACCATAACTACAGATAAGAATTATAATGAATAGAAGAATGCATTAACTTGAAATACTCAAGGTCATCTCAAATCCTAAAGAGTCCCAGGTTTCTGTGACAGAGGAAGAATTTGCTGGTAAATAGTTTCCAGACAAATACGTTCAAAGTTTTCATCTTCTGATTCTTAATTTTTTAACCTATAGTGTAAGACTTATTCAAATCTAAGTATGTAGTAGCAAGACCTGAGAGTGTTTTGTAAAAGTTTAATTCAAAAACTCCTAAACTTCATTTGCTAATTTTCTATTCTACTATCTATATTTTTCTTTGTTTCATTCGTCTTCTTTTCTTTCCACAAGTTCCCAAGGACAATCCCTAGAAAAACTATTAGTCCTATCGTTCGGTTGGAGGCAAATTTATCCCAACAGTCCTCAGGTCTGTGGATGTCTAGAGTGAAAATCTGTGAGAGAAGAACACAATGCTACATTAGTATTAGTACGGACTTTTTGGCATCACAAACACATCATCAGAGAAGACATTAGCACTCTGTTATAGAATTTTAAGCAATGGGAAGCCCTTAATACACCCTAAACAATTCCCCAATGTAGACAAATCTACCATTTCTCTCTCTCTCTGAGTATTATCTAAGCTGTGTCCTAAAAAAATTCCCCACGAAGGGTGCAAGAATGCTTTGAGGGAAGCCATGCTATTTCAGCTCTATTTACAAAGCTCTTCCTTCCACTGACTGATCTAAAATCTGCTTCCTACAGCTCTGACCCTCCAGTTCTAGCTTTATTCTTTGGAGCAATATTTCTCAACAGGAGAACAAGTCACATTTGGGCAGGACCCCTCTGTTGTGTAGGGCTGTCAAATGCCCTGAAAGATATTTAATATACCTGGTCTTCACCCACTAAATGCCTGTAGTGCGCCTTCCCCAGTTTAATTATGATAATAAAAAATACCCCCATCCATGTGTAAATCCCCCTCCCATCCCCACAAAGAGAAGGGAATCCTAGCAACCTAGATTTGCAGCTGGTGACCGAGGACAAACATACTCCTCTTTCTCCATGGTAGTCCTGCAACTATATCTGAGTCTCACATCCCTGTCTTACTCCTCCCTAGGCTTAAGCATCAGCATCCTTCTGCATTTCTCCAACTCATCTTATTGTTGCCTGCAGACTTACAATCATCATGATTTCCTTCCTTTTCAAATACTGGAAGGCTATGTTCATCCTAAAATATTGTGTCAAGGACTGGAGAGAAGACCACAAATGCAACTGAGAATATAAAGTGGGTTCCAAATATTTGTGATTGTCCTCACAATTTTTTGCCTTTCTCCACTAATATCTAGATGCTTAAATATTGCTAAGTCTCCATTACCCTGACCAGACAATCAGCTAATGATGACAATCCTATGGAGTTATGACCAAAAGAAGATGCTGGGAAATTCTGAGGAGGAAAATGATGAGATTTGAGAATGCCAAAGAATCACCAATTCATATCTTTAGCTTTCTTAGTGAGGAAAACAATGAAGGTGATACAGAATAGAGTTTACTCTACAGACACTGGATTTCAGTTTCCTTCATGCCATGTTATATAAGCTTCACTTACACTGATAACTCACTTGCAATAATCTGTATAAAACAGATAATCTAAATACAGGTTTACTAACTTCTGTTCGAAGAAAATAACAGTAACATTGGTTATAAATGAACTGTATTTTTGCATCAAACTAATTACAATTAGATTTAGTTTATTCACTTTACACAAGTCAATATAGATTCATAGTATCAGCTAGTAGGGGCTGGGGTGCTGGGTGCATATCCTGAAATGACAGTTTTCTGCTATCTAGGCAGAACTCTGACATGTTGTAGTCATCCAGCCTTGGTCTCTACGCCAGTGGGATCTACACCTATGGATAATCAGTTTGCTAAGTATCACCAGAGCCCACATTTAAAAATAAAGCTGTGTTGATCAGTTGCTTTCAAAGTAATTTAGTTCAACCCACAACCTTCAGACATTGCTGAAATTTTTCCAGACATAAATCAGAAGTAATTCCAGAAATATCAGAGGGAAAATAAAATCTACATTTAGCTTTAGATTATTTTTCTAAAATAATATAGCTAACTCTTTTATATGAAAAGTTGGGGGGGGGGATGCAATTTAAGAGAGTTCAAGGCAGTGCAAGCCAAGTGTTTAAGAAGTAACTTGTTTGGTAAACACAGAGGTTGTTTCATTTAAATAATATTTATAATTTATACCAAGGAAGAATGAGGAAAAAAAGAAGACGGTCAAACCTGGTGAGTCAGATGGGCTCCCACAGCAGCCAGAGCAGTGTAGTAGGGCAAGGTCTGACCAGTGTTCACTCCCACCAGACTCAGCGCACTCAGCATTGCTACACTGAAGCCACTAAGCCACTGCTTGGTGTTTTCACGAAACCTCAGTGCAGTGGACTTAACACCAACCAGAGCATCATCTTTCTTGTCCTAACATCAGAAAATAATAAGAAATTGTGTTTTTTATTTAACATACCATAACATTCGCCATTTTGAAGTGTACAAGTCAGTGGTTTTAGTATATTCACCAGGTAGTGCAACCATCACCAATACCTAATTCCAGAAGACATTGTCTTTTATTATTTTTTTATCCTCACCTGAGGACATTTTTCTATATTTTATTCAGATAGAGCGGGAGGGAGAGAAAGGAAGAGAGAGAGAGAGAGAGAGAGAGAGAAAATCGATGTGAAAGGGACACACTGAGTGGCTGTCACCCGCATGATCCAACCAGGGCCGGGGACAAACTGCAACCGAAGTACATGCCTTTAGCGGGAACCGAACCTGGGTCTCTCTGGACTGCAGGCCGACGCTCTAACCACTGAGCCAAACTGGCCAGGGTGACATTGTCTTTTAAAGGACATTTATATATCAACATAAAGATACACCATGAGCTGTGGAAGATGAGTAACTCAGAACATGGGCTGATCAGTAATGAATGTGCAACCAAATCAAAGTTAAATGTTACTGCTAAAATTCTCTTTCAGCTCTATTTCTCCTTTTAAAATTTTTTTATTTTTATTTTCAGACAGAAGGAGGGAGAGGGAAGGAGGGAGGGAGAGAGAGAGAGAGAGACATCTAAGTGAGCGAGACACATCAATTGGATGCCTCCCATAGGACCTCGACGAGGGCTGGGGATAAATTCTACTTGGCTGTGGTGTTTAATTTTTTAAATATATTGCTGGATCCAATTTGCTAAAATTTTGTTAAGGATTTTGGCGTCTATGTTCATCAGGGATATTGGCCTGAGATTTTCTTTTGTTGTAGTGTATTTATCTGGTTTGGGATTAAGATTATTCTGGTCTCATAAAAAGAACTTGGAAGTCTTCCTCCTCTTGAATTTTTTGGAATAGATTGAGAAGAATAGGTGTTAGTTCTCTGAATGTTTTGTAAAACTCCCCTATGAATCCATCTGGACCAGGGCTTTTGTTTGCTGGGATTTTATTGATTACCGCTTCTATTTCCTTAGTTGTTACTAGTAAAATCCTATTGACTTTTCACTACACTTTTACTACATTAGAAGTAAAACTCACCTCAAATCCTCACATGGCTCCTCCTATTGCAGAGTTCTAAAATCTCATTAGTTTCCTGTACATTTTTGTTTCAATCTTGTTAAAAATCACAAATGTAGAAAAATGTTCAATTACTACCCAATGACATCCATTCACATTTCACTTCTAACTTAATTTACTCCTTGCCTCTCCCATCATATCTTTTGTTTAAGCAGAACTAGGTTTTGATGATATACTCCCATCTAGCTGGCTGGTTTCCTCCAGATAATGTATTGGCAAGCATTTCCATATGTTCTTGTAATTATGGTCCTGTGACATCAGAGACTGCATGTTGAACTCTGCACCCACCTGTAGGCAGACAGCTATCTTTTAGAGTCCCAAATACAAATAATAATGAGTGTGGGGTTTGGGTATGTTTTTCCTTTTATACTGCAAGCACTTGAGGGTGCAAACTGTGGCTTTAATTATGTGGACCACAGAAGAGTCAATGAGTATATGGTATTTTAATGAAGAAGTTAATCTAATTGGAATACAGTTATCCTGACCACTGGTTCCAGGCCACATTGCAAAAAGTACAGGCATTTCTTCTAAACTGCTATTAAGTTTCACTTCAGGAAATCAGGCTGATTATAGATTTGGCAATGTTTTCATGATAATACAAATGTGGTGGGGGGCAGGGGTTAATGAAAGAAAGCAGGATGAAATCCAGACTAAAATACTAGAAAAAATTTTCATTAAATCATCGCATATTCTTTAAGTAAATGACTGAGAATACAGTCATATTTCAGAAAAAAACTACTGAGGATGAAAACTTTTTTTTCACAGTTCATAAACATAAAAGGAAAATTAAGAACATAAATCAAGAAAAGTTAAAAAAAGGTTTTTCATTAAACTTATGAAAAGGCAATACAAAAAGTATAAAAATATTTATATCCTTTAAATAACACCACTCCTAAAAATTTACTTAAAAAGTTTATAGTCATAAAGACATTAGTAATTAAAACAATACTATTTATAATTGCAGAAACTCAGAAACAACTGAAAGGGCCAAAATAGACAAATTGTTAAAAAAAAAAAGTATGGTGTATTAAATCAATGGACTATTATGCAGTCAAAGTGATAATGACAAAAAATAGGTAAAAATCTAGGGAAACATTTAGTACCTGCCTCATACAATGATTAGAGGCATCAACAGAAGGGTAGGAGAGGGTGGTTAAAAGCACAAACCCTGGAGACTGGTGTTGAATCTCAGCCCTGCCATCCACTAACTGTGTGACATGGACAAATTACTTCCCATGCATGTTTCCTCATCTGCAAAATGAGGATAATAAAAGTGCCTTCCTCTCAGGTTGTTAGGGTTAAATTAATGTTTGCAAGGTAATTTAAACAGTGCCTGGCATATAGTAAATGCTATTTAAATTATAAATAAAATAAATGAGTTGATCCCTTTGGTAAATATACATGCATATGAAATAGAAATATTTTGTTGGCACCATGGAAATGTGATGATTTTCTTTTTAGAAAAAAAATTTCCCTTTAGTTTGGTTCTCAAAACTTTTTAAAAACAACTAAAGTTAAGAAAAAAGATGGTATTTCTTTACCTGATGGGCATAGATAGTATCATATATTAGAGTCCACATAATTCCAGAAAAATAAAGAGGCAGGCAAACATATGGATCACAGGAGCCCTTGATAGCAGACCATCCAAGTAATGCTCCCCAATTAAAAGTGAATCCTACAAGGAGTGAAACAGAAACAGAGAAAAAGTCTAAATGTACTTCCAAATTCCAAAGGGAAGGAGAGGGGCATCAGCATGTATTAAGAGCTTCTGTGTAGTAGGCTCTGTGTATGCTGTTTTCTAACATGTTTCTTCTTTAAATTATCTAGGCTCTCTGTGGTAGTTATCAGGTAAACATTATAAAGAAGAAAACAGGTTCAGAAAGGTTAATTAACAATTAAAAGAAGATGGCGGAGGGTAGGACCAGAGGGAGGGTGAGTGTGTAAGAGAGTGAGCAAGTGTGTGAGAGTGTGAGTAGACGTGAAGATAGACGACCAAACCCATGCAGTGTAGAGACGAGGAGCAGAGGTTCCTATGCTGTGGACAGGAGCAGCCAGCTACCGTGGTAAGCTGCCCTTCAGGGTGCTTCTCCCTGAGCCATGGGGAGGTCCCAACATTTTGGAAGATCCTGGGTCTTTCCTGGGAGAAGACAGTGGGAGTGGCTAGGGCCCAGCAACCTGAGCCCACCAGCACACTTGACACCATTGGAACAGTGGACACGCTGTGTCAACACAGACTGGTGCACAGTAGTGGAGCTCCCAAGGTGCCGGTCCGGGAAGCCGGGGACAGCCAGGAGCCCAGCACCATCCCCAATAGTAGCAGCCCAATCAGAGTCGAGATATACCACCAGCAAGAGAGGCTGGGGAGCAGACATCCATCCCCAGGCAACAGAAGCACAGACCAGCAGCTGAGACCCATCCCCAAAAACTACAGCAAAAGCTGAGCAGGAATTGAGCCCCATGGGGCAGCAGCACTCCCCAGCCACCAGCAGCGGGACCTGGGGCTCCACAGAGACCTGTGCGGTCCAGCAGCTCACAAGTGCAGTGGGACGCCAGAGCCCTAGGGAGACTGGTGCAATCCAGCTGCCTGCCCGCGGGAACTGCAGGGTGTGAGGACACCAGAGAGACCTGTGCGACCCAGCAGGGACTGTGTGATCCAGTTACCCATGGGACCTGTGGGGTGCTGAAGCACCAGAGATGCCTGTGCAACCCAGCAGGGACTGTGCCATCCAGTTACCTGTGGGACCTGCAGGATGCTGAAGCACCAGAGAGGACTGTGCGATCTAGTTACCCATGGGGCCTGTGGGGTGCTGAAGCACCAAAGAGGCCCCTGCGACCCAGCAGGGACTGTGCCATCCAGATACCCGCGGGATCTGTGGGGTGCTGAAGCACCAGAGAGGCCTGTGCGACCCAGCAGCCCATAACATAGGCATAGAGCCAGATCCCCAAAGGGACTGTGTGGTCCAGTTACCTGTGGGACCTGCAAGGTGCAGGGGCATCAGAAAGGCCTGTGCGACCCAGCTACGCACAAGATAGGCTTAGAGGAAGTGAAAAGGGAGGCAGAGTGAATAGAAGCTACACAGACGATCTCCCAGGACCAAACGGGAATTACAACTAAAATAAAGAAAATTCCTCAGAAAAAAGCAACAGAAAAGCAGCAGGACGGGACCATACAACCAGGGACACTGGTAGGATCTGCAGAAGTGAGAGAGAGTGGTGGGCTGGGAGCCCAGGGACAACAGCAGTCTTAGCTGTGAGCAGCGCCCTTGGGGAATAAAGACCAAGCCCCCACCACACCACAAAAAGCCGGGACAGAGCACTAAAATAGCCACAGCCACTCACCTGGGGGCTATGGCAGAGGGAGGGCAGACTGAGCTGGAACTCTGTGGGGACACCTGGTATTTGGAGGGCACTCAGAGTTTTTGCTGAGTTGCAGCCACAAAGGACAGGGGCCAGTGTGCTCCTTCCCAGAGCTGTGGGGAAAAGCAGCAGCCCCTCCCCTCAGAGATTCAGCCTTTCCCCTGTGAGGCAAAGAAATGCAACTTGAGGCACATTAACAGCCAGCCTCTATCCCACCCTCTGGAAATCCTCTTATGCAGAACACCAGGGCTACATTCCAAGGCACTGAGTAACTGAGACTACTAGCCACCAGGAAAAACCTAGAGGATAACTGAACTTTTCGTGGGCTTGAAAATCTACCCAGGAAAGTAAGACTTGACAGTGGTGTTTAACGTGGGCCCACCCAGGCTCATCCAAACCCAGTAGAGGGAGCCACAAACAACAGAACACCAACACCCACAGGGAAAATTTGGCAGGCCCCAAAACCCAGAGATAGCCAAAATGGTGAAACAAGGGAAACAAATCTCAAATGAAAGAACAAGAGAACTCTATCAAAGATGAGATCAATGAAATGCAGCTAAGCAAATTATCAGAGGTAGAGTTAAGAGCCATGATCCTGAGGAAGCTAAACAGCATGAGTAAGGACATCAGCACCATGAGTAAAGATATGAAAACACTGAAAACCAACCAAGTGGAAATGAAGAATGACATAGCAGAAATTAAGAACATATTGGAAGGACTAACCAGCAGAGTAGAGGAAGTTGAGGACCGGATCAGTGAATTAGAAGACAGGGTAGAAAAAATTAACCAATCAGAAAACCAAAAGGAAAAAACAATTAAGAAACAAGAAGAGCCCTGGCCAGTTTGGCTCAGCGGTTAGAGCATCGGCCTGCAGTCCGGAGAGACCCGGGTTCGGTTCCCGCTAAGGGCACGTACTTCGGCTGCAGTTTGTCCCCGGCCCTGGTTGGTCGTGCGGGTGGCAGCCACTCGATGTGTCCCTTCACGTCGATGTTTCTCTCTCTCTCTCCCTTCCTCTCTCTCCCTCCCACTCTATCTGTACAAAAAATGGAAAAATATCCTCGGGTGAGGATACAAAAAAAATAAAATAAAAAATGGAAACAAGAAAATAGCTTAATAGAACTGTGGGACAACTGGAAATGTATTTGCATCATAGGAATCCCCGAAGAGGAAGAAAATAGGCAAATGTTAGAGAATATATTTAAAGAAATAGTGACAGAAAACTTCCCTAACTTGGTAAAGGAAGAAGGCATTTAAGTTCAAGAAGCACAGAGAGCCCCAAGTAAGAAGAACACAAACAGGCCCACAGCAAGACACATAGTAATTAAAATGCCAAAAATTAAAGTCAAAGAGAGAATCTTAAAGGCAGCAAAAGATAAGCAACAGGTTACCTACAAAGGAAATCCCATAAGGCTCTCAGCTGACTTCTCACAAGAAACACTACAGGCCAGATGGCAGTGGCATGAAGTAATCAAGGTCATGAAAAACAAGGATCTGAATCCAAGACTACTCTACCAGCAAGGCTATCATTCAAAATAGAAGTTCAAATAAAGAGCGTTCCAGACCAAAAAAAGGTTAAGGGAATATGTTAACACCAAACTAGCACTGCAAGGTATGCTAAAAGGACTGCTATAATTAGTAGAAGAAATAGGAAGAAAAATAGAACCACACTAAACAAAAATGGCAATAAATAAGTACATATCAATTATCACTTTAAATGTGAATGGTCTGAATGCTCCGATAGAAAGACACAGAGTAGCTGACTGTTTACAAGAGACCCAACTCACAAAAAAAGAATCACATAAGTTGAAAGTGAAGGGATGGAAAAAAATCTTTCAAGCAAATGAAAAGCAAAAAAAAGCTGGGGTAGCAATACTCACATCTGATAAAGTAGATTTTAAAATGAAGACCATAACTAGAGACAAAGAAGGCCACTACATAGTATTGAAAGGATCTATCCAACAGGAAGATATAACCTTGATAAACATATATGCACCCAATATAGGAGCACCAACATATATTGAAAATCTTTTGGAGGACTTCAAAGGAGAAATCAACAGCAATACGATCATAGCAGGGGACTTCAACATCCCACTGACAGCACTGGATAGATCTTCTAGACAAAAAACTAATATGGAAACACAGATTCTAAATAAAGCGCTAGATCAAATGGATTTAATAGACATCTACAGAGAATTACACCCTAAAACTGCAGAATTCACATTCTTCTCAAGTGCACATGGGACATTCTCAAAGATAGACCACATGTTAGGGCACAAACTAAGTCTCTATAAGTTCAAGAAGATTAAAATCATATCAAGCATCGTCTCAGATCACAATGGCATACAACTAGAAATCAATTGCAACAAGAAAATGCAAAGACATTTGAAAACATGGAGGCTAAATAGCATGTTATTGAACAATGAATGGGTTACCAAGGAGATCAAGGAAGAAATTAAAAACTTCCTGGAAACTAATGAAAATGAACACACAACAATACAAAATCTATGGGATGCAACAAAAGCAGTTCTGAGAGGGAAGTTCATAGCACTACAGGCCTACCTCAAGAAGCAAGAAAAATTTCTAATAGACTATCTAACCTCACAACTTTAAGAACTAGAAAGCAAACAAAAAGAAAACCCCAGAGCAAGTAGAAGGAAGGAAATAGAAAAGATCAGAGCAGAAATAAATGACATGGAGACCAAAACAATAATTCAAAGGATCAATGAAACAAAGAGCTGCTTCTTTGAAAAGATAAACAAGATTCATGGACCCTTAGCTAGACTCACCAAGAAACAAAGAGAGAGAACCCAAATACACAAAATCAGAAATGAAAGAGGAGAAATAATAACTGATACCACAGAAATACAAAGGATTGTTCACATATATTATGAACAATTATATGACAACAAATTCGACAATCTAAGCGAAATGGACAAATTTCTAGAAACACATAGTTTCCAAAACTGAACCAGGAAGAGATAGAAAACTTGAACATACCAATAACAGAAGAGAGTGAAGATGTAATCAAGACTCTTCCAGCAAACAAAAGCCCAGGCCCAGGTGGCTTCATGGGGGAATTCTACCAAATATTCAAAGAAGAACTAATACCCATTCTCCTCAAACTATTTCAAAAAATCCAAGAAGGAAAACTTCCAAACCTGAGTTATGAGACCAGCATAATTCTAATTCCAAAACCAAAAAAAGACACTACAAAGAAAACTACAGACCAATTTCTCTGATGAACATCGATGCCAAAATCCTGAACAAAATACTAGCTAATTGAATCCAACAATACATCAAAAAAATTATTCACCATGACCAAGTGGGATTCATCCCAGGGATGCAAGGCTGGTACAGTATTCGCAAATCAATAAATGTGACACACCACATAAACAAAATGAAAGATAAAAACATATGATCATATCAATAGACACTGAAAAAGCATTTGACAAAATCCAGCACCCATTTCTGATAAAAATGCTCAGCAATCTGGGAATAGAGAGATCATATTTCGACATAATAAAGGCCACATAATGAAAGGCCTACAGCCAACATCACACTCAATGGGCAAAAATTAAAAGCATTTCCCTTAAGAACAGGAACAAGAAAAGGATGCCCACTTTCGCCACTCTTATTTAACATAGTACTGGAAGTCCTAGCCCAGCAATCAGACAGGAAGAAAAAATAAAAGGGATCCAAATTGGAAAAGAGGAAGTAAAATTGTCATTATTCGCAGATGACATGATACTATACGTAGAAAACCCCAAAGACTCCATCAAAAATTTACTAGACTTAATAAATGAATTTGGCAAAGCAGCAGGATACAATATTAACATCAAGAAATCGATGGCATTCTTATACACCAATGATGAACTCACAGAAAGAGAAATAAAAAAATCCTTTTTACCTTCATGGCAAAAAAAATTAAGATATTAGGAATAAACTTAACCAAAGAAGTAAAGGACCTATTCCCAGAAAACTACAGGTCATTGAAAAAAGAAACAGAGAAAGATATAAAAAAGTGGAAGCACATACCTTATTCATGGATTGGAAGAATTAACATCATTAAAATGTCTATACTACCCAAAGCGATCTATAGATTCAATGCAATCCTCATCAAAATACCAACGACATATGTCACAGAATTAGAACAAATACTTCAAAAGTTCATATGGAACCAAAAAAGACCTAAAATAGCAACAGCAATCTTGAAAAAGAAGAACAACGTTGGAGGGATCACATTACCAGAGTTCAGGTTATACTACAAAGGCATTATAATCAAAACAGCCTGGTACTGGCATAAGAACAGGCATATAGACCAGTGAAAGAGAACTGAGAACGCAGAAATGGACCCAAGGTAATATGCTCAATTAATATTTGACAAAGGTGGCAAGAGCATACAGTGGAGTAAAGACAGCCTCTTTAATAAATGGTGTTGGGAACATTGGACAGCTACATGCAAAACAATGAAACTAGCAACTTACACCACACACAAGAATAAACTCAAAAAGGATAAAAGACTTAAATGTGACTCATGATTCCAAAACATCCTAGAAGAAAATGTAGGCAACAAAATTTCAGACATCATCTGCAGCAGAATTTTCACGAATACATCACCTAACGCAACAGAAACAAAGGAGAAAATGAACACACTACATCAAACTCAAAAGCTTCTGCACAGCAAAAGATACAATCATCAAAATGGAAAGGTAACCCACTGTATGGGAGAGCATAATTGCCAATGATATATCAGATAAGGGGTTAATTTCCAATATATATAGAGTGCTCATACAACTCAAAAAAGGAAGTCAAAGAACCCAATTAAAAAATGGGCATAGGAACTAAATAGACACCTCTCCAAACAAGACATACAAATGGCAAAGAGCTATATGAAGAAATGCTCAACATCACTAATCATCAGAGAGATGCAAATTACAACAACAATGAGGTATCACCTCACACCTGTCAGAATGGCTGCCATCAACAAATCATCAAACAAGTGTTGGCGAGGTTGTGGAGAAAACGGGACTCTAGTACACTGCTGGTGGGAATGCAGACTGGTGAAACCACTATGGAAAACAATATGGTGTTAGCTCAAAAAATAAAAAATTGAACTTCCATTTGACCCAGTGATCCCACTTCTAGGAATATACCCTAAGAAGCCTGAAACACCAATCAGAAAGAATATATGTACCCCCATGTTTGTAGCAGCACTATTTACAATAGCTAAGATTGGAAACAGCCCAAATGTCCATCAGTAGACAAATGGATAAAAAAGCTGTGGTACATATACACAATGGAGTACCATGCAGCTGTAAGAAAGAAAGGTCTCTTATCCTTTGAGACGACATGGAGGTACCTGGAAAGTATTATCCTAAGCGAAACAAGCCAAACAGAGAAAGACAAGTATCATATGATCTCACTTATTTGTGGAATACAATGAACGTAACAGTCTGAGGAATGGGGTAGTCCCAGAGATGTGGAAGTGGGGTACAGACTGACAATCCCCAGAAGAGGGGGTGGTGGGGGTGAGATAAACCACAGAACTTATATGCACATGTGCATGAACAATAGATATGGACAATAAAGCTGTGGACAGGGTGGGGAGGGAGGGGGATGGGGGAATCAGTGAGTGAAAAAGGAGAAACATCTGTAACAAAAATAAATAAATTAATTAAAAAAACAATTAAAATATCATAGCTAAGAGAAAGAATATGCCCCCTGATAAATATGTTTCATGAGAACATTTACCCTACCTAGCATAGTGCCTGGCAGAGTCAATAAATAATAGATGCTGGGGTCTGAACTTAGACCCAAGCAAAATCCTGTGATTTTTCCATCATCACTCTACTTCCCCTATAGGTATGGAAACAATACTATAGATAGGAATCCTTATGAATTCCACAGGCCCATTCTCTCTGAGGACTGTAAACAAACTCCTACATGCTGACAACTCCTGAACCTCTTTGGGCAAGCCTGCTCAGTCTTCTCACTAGATATTGGACTGCCTGCTGGACAGCTCTACCTGCAAGTCCCTCTGGCATCTCAAACTCAGTGGGTCCTAAATGTCTTTTCTGCTATGTTATCTGTTTCCACTCAGACTCTCTCCTCAGCTGACAGAGGGCCTCTCCTCTGTGGTACCAAAGCCCTCATGCATGCCAGTACATTGTACTGCAATGCCCTGTTCATTGTTGTCTCCATCAAGATGGTGAATGTGTTTTAGTTACTTTCATTTTCCTAGTACCTGGTGTGATTTCTGGCACAAAGTAAAAGTCAGGAATTTAATATATATCTGAAAGAAATATACCAGCTTTCTTAATATTATCTTATAGATAGGAAATGCTTATCCTTCATTTACCAAAAGATTCCCAGGTCAGTTGAGAATATAATGCCATATATTCATATGGCTCGCAACAATTTCTGGAGGTTCTTTTATTTACTGACAAAAAATAAATGTTCAAAGAACTAAAATTGTTCTAGAAACACTCTACATTAGTCTAGGAATAGAAAAGACTAGTAGATATTTTTGCAAGAGATTTTGACTTACCTACCTACCTATCTTCCTCTCTCTCCACTAATAAACATTTATTGAATTCCTGCGATATATCAAGTGCTAATGTTAGATGTTGAGCCATCCAAATGTAAGAATGCTTTACCCTTTGGGCATTTACAATTTATTACTGGGGAGACAGAGGAGGCTCTCAATAGCTTCTTGTTGAATTAGTGCTATTGAAGTGAGTAAGTACCTTGTAAGAGTGCTGTGGGAGCCCAGAGTGCTAAAGCTTTTTCCTGGGAGATCTAAGAAAAACTTCACAGAAAGGGAGCCCTGAGAAGAGAGCTGAACTATCACACATACTTGAACCCTTGTTCTGCTGTTCAGAGTGCTTTATACCCCAGTCCCCAATGTCTTCAGGGCAGCTAGATCAACCACCTAAAGAGAGAGGTAGGGTCAAGGCAGATAATGTTTTTCTTCATGACATACCTAGATATTTAAAAGAACATTTCAGAAAATAATGATGATAATAAATATGCAAGATTTTTTTGGCAAATATAAATGGCTAATTGTACTCCTTTAAAATATGAAAATCTGCCCTGTCTGGTATGGCTCAGTTGGCTGGAGCATTGCCCTGTGCACCGTAAGTTCTTGGGTTCGATTTCTAGTAAGGGCAGCTGGGGTGCATAGGGGAAGCAGCTGATCAGTGATCAATGTATCTCTCTCACATAGGTGTTTCTCTCTCTCTCTCTCTCTCTTCATCCCTTTCTTGAAAAAAAATAAAAAATAAAATCTATTCTTGGTTTGGAGAATTTCAAGACTGACTTGACATTTTATCTTTGCCACATTATATATGTATGTATGATAATATATCTAAAAGAATAGTTTGAGGGTATCACAGGAAATAGTTATAGTTAGTTCAAGCTTACCCAAGGCTAACTGAGGCCAGTACGTAATTCTTTTCATTAGTGGATAGGTGATGACAAGAAGTAGGGATGCTGCTCCAAGAACTATACTAAAATAAAAAAAAAAGCATTAAAAAGATTAATATCATCATCTCTTACAAATCACTGAGAAGACAACGAGAGTAACACTAATTGGGAAAATAAATTATCTTAAAAATTATATTTTTTTGTTATGTAAAATTCTCTTCCTGGACTGTGATGAGGATAAGGATGATTAAAAATATTTTAAGTATTACAAAATAATAATAACTAACACATGTAGAGGTTTCATGTATTAGGCACTGCTCTACCTGCATTACATATGTTAACTCATTATAATCATTACCACAATCTTAAGAGCTTTATTCTACTTGTTTTTTGCAGATGAAGAAACTAAAGCTCTAAGAGATTGGCTCCAAAGTCCAACTTACTACCATATGCTACTGCCTCTCTAAATTTTGTATTCAAACATTTAAGACAGCTAGAAACTGAGATGTTCTAACAGAGAATCAGAGTCAAGATATCCTTCCCTATACGTACAACAGGGTATTATTTCTCTAGAAGAGGATAAAGTCACAAATTCCCTATGAAAGGATAATACCATAAGACATTCTTAGGTACCTCAAAGCTCACCTGACACCACCCGTCCAGGAATAACCTTCCAAAGTGTTTTCATGTGAGTGATGCCAGCAGGGCAAGATATATAATTAAGTCTGGTCTTTATAAAGTAATGCTTTTTGCTGACTTCCTCTTTTTTTCTTATTGAAATACTTCATAAACAGCCATCTAATGCACAGAAGTTTAACTGTCTCTGTTTAAGAGATACAGAAATGAGTCCTTCCACTTTTTTCATTTATCATGGATTAGGAACATAACTCTGGGAAAGACCAGTCACTCTTTTTGCATAATGAGTATAACCACTTTTGCTTCTATGTATTCAGAGATACGATAAACATAAATAAAATCATACAGGGGTTGGCAAAAGTAGGTTTACAGCTGTGAGTACACAAAACACAGTTTATTCTTATATTATTATTAATTATTGCATTATTTCTCATGGGAACAACTGTAAACCTACTTCTGCTCATCCCTGTATAAATGAGTATATATGTATACACACATCCATGTATGCACCTAGAAAACCTATAAAGTGCCTTGTGTCTCTTAGGAGCATGTAGTGCAAGTACTAAAGGTGGTTCAGGATCAATTAAATGCTGATCTCTTATCTTAATTCCTTTGGATGAAAACATATGTGGTTTTATAATGTGTGTTGATTTATTTATACTTGCTAACTTACAGATGCGCAATAGGTAGCCAATAAACAACTATATGATAAAGATATTTCGATTTTATTTTATTTCTATTTCCTCTATTTCAAAGGAGAGATTTTACACATGATTATGAACAACACATTTACTATACCTGTAGTAATTCAGACACAGAAGAACACCTAGTGCCAGGGTCAGCTGTCCCCCGAGAAAAATGAAGGACTGAAAAGTTGAAATGTCTCCAGCAGCTATTGGACGGTTTGCTGTTCTTATAACCTTAACACATAAAAATAGATACCTTAGCTTCACATAATGGCTCAATCATTTATTTAAACATTTCATCAAGTGACTGGTCCATGGTAAGCACTAAGGCAGAAGTTTAAATAAAACGCGAAATTAACATTGGAAGTACTGCTAAGAATCAAAAGTTGATTTTAAAGTACCTTTGAAAAGAACTAAAATTTCCCACCACTCATTCCCTTTACTATCCCCAACCCTAAACAAACAAAACAAAGTGACTTCCTTATCTAGCTACTTAGTTACCTAGGTTAATTAGCAAGTGTATGTTCAATTTCCATAGAGAAAAGAGAGACAATAATAATGAGAATTCTCAGGAAAGAAAAATTACAGTGCATGCCAAATAACACTAATATCCCGTGAATGTTTTGAGTATGGGAAACACTGCAATCAGAAATTAGATATGAAGAAAGAAGACAGATGATCTGGGTTTGAAAATTGGAGTGTTTTTGCCGGGTTCTTTAGGAATGGGTCTGTAATCTTATATTTTAGCTGTACCCAAATATAAAGGGCAAACCCCCTGTGAGAAGATGAAAAGATAGAGTAATTATGTAAACAAATAATACTTGTTCTTTTCCTTCCAAGAGATCGTGAAATGTAATTATTTTAAATTGAACCACAAATAACATAAACAAAAATTTCAACACTACCTAAAGAACTCAGGATCTGAGATCAGAGAGCCCAGCATTTTAATCCAATTCCATCACTTTTTGGCTATATGAATTTAGGCAAATTACTTAATCTCTCTTGGGGTAAGGTTACTTACCTGTTAAAAGAAAAACAGAGAGAGGGAGAAGGGAGAGAGGTAATAACAACCCCTACCTCACAGAGTAAATGTAGTGTTTGAAGCATATAAGTATGCAATAAATGTTAATTATTATTAATATAACATATGTTTATATGATTTATATCAAGGGTTAGCAAACTATGGCCTGTGGGCCAAATCCAGCCTACTGCCTGTTTTTATAAGGCCTGTGAGCTAAGGCTGGTTTTTACTTTTTTTGATGGTTACAAATAAATGTAAAAAAGAAGAGAGTAATGTATTGTGACACATGAAAATAATATGAAATTCAAATTAAGGTACCCACACATAGTTTTATTGAAAGAGACATATCCATTAGTTTACATGCTGTGTATGGTTACTTTTATGCTGCACCAGAGTAGTTGCAACAAAGACAGTATGGCCCACAAAGCCTAAAATATTTACTATGTTATTATTATTTTTTTTTAATCCTCACCAGAGGACATTTTTCCATTTTTTTTTGTTCAGACAGAGTGGGAGGGAGAGAGAGGAAGAGAGAGAGAGAGAGAGAGAAACATCGATGTGAAAGGGACACATCAAGTGGCTGTCTCCCGCACGACCCAACCAGGGTCTGGGACAAACTGCAACCAAGGTACGTGCCCTTAGCAGGAACCAAATCCGGGTCTCTCTGGACCGCAGGCTGACTCTTTAACTACTGAGCCAAATTCGCCAGGGCTACTATGTTCCTCTTTACAAAAAATTTGCGGACCCAATTTATAGCATGTTTCACTCTGCAATAAAACAGTTTGTCAAACTATAATGACTCATCTTGGTTAGAGTGCCAGAACTGGATCTTCCATCCTTGCTTTGGTCCCTATAGTTTCAGTTGGAAATAACACTATGTTCTTTTTTTTTTTTATCATCCTCACCCGAGGACATTTTTCCATTCTTTGTTCAGATAAGAGTGGGAGGGAGAGAGAGGAACAGAGAGAGAGAGAAAAACATCGATGTGAAAGGGACACATCGAGTGGTCGCCACCCGCACAACCAACCAGGGCCAGGGACAAACTGCAACCGAGGTACATGCCCTTAGCGGGAACCGAACCCGGGTCTCTCCAGACCGCAGGCCGATGCTCTAACCGCTGAGCCAAACCGGCCAGGGCTAATGCTATGTTCTTTATTTGTTTCAGGATATTAGCTAGTATCTGAGTATTGATAATGTGCCACTATTCTAAGAGCTACATATGCATCACATCATTGAATCCTTGTAACAACCCTATCTTTTAGCCACACAAGGTCTTGCCATTTCTAAATTTTATGTAATTGAAACAGAGTCTCAGTAATTTTCCAAAGTCATAGGTAGCACAGTAGCACAGTTAGTCTACTTCCACTGACCACACTAACCACACAGTTATACTGGCCCTTCAGTACAGTTATAATTACCTACCTAAATTTGAAATCTAAAAATAAGCACTCAATGAAAAGACTAAAAAGTATGTAACATGATGATCAAAACATATTCTATGTAGTTTTAAATGAAACCAGAGTGCTTACAACTTATAAAACCAAATAAACAGATTATTTCAATGTTTTTCAACCTAATGTTTATTATATGGCTAACAGATTATATATATCAATAACCCAGATAACCTAATATATTATTTTTCTAAGGAGAAAAAAGAATAAAGTTATGTTTTTAAAGGAAATAATTATAGCAAATTCTAATAGGGCTGCCTAAGTTCATTTAAATTAAGATTTGATTTACATATGTATAGTTATGGCTCCGATATAAGTTGCAAAGAAAGGGATGACAGTTCTTTCAGACACCCAAAGGTTCAGACAGATTTTTCACTTCACTCCTAACATCCTTACCCTAGCCTTCTAAATCCTAATTCATTTTGTAAAAATGAAGTACACACCTTGCCCCCATGGCCACTCTTGTGCTGAGAAAGGAAGTACACTGAACTCTGTAACACCAGCTATTCATTCAATTGGTATCGGCACTTCTTATGCTGAATTTCAGTGAGGACACTGAATAATCCTGTTGTTTTATGTGACATTCAAAGCTGATGCCACCATGTTACTCTGCAGAATTCAGAGAAGCATCTCTGTTCCTTTCGAGGATGAAACTACCTTTTTATCATAGTCCTGGTCCCACATGTCATTAATAGTACAGCCTGCTCCACGCATCAGAACAGCTCCAGTGCCAAAGAGGGATAACACGTACCAATCTGGAAAACAACCTGGTTCAGCTGCCAAACCAATGCTCCAGGTACATGGCAGATACAGAAGCCAGGTTCCTAAGTAAAAATAAAAAGATAAAAAAGGTACAAATTCCAGTTATTTAACTGTTTTCATTTGTTTAAACTGTTTAAACACCACATCCCAAAGAATTAAAACACACGTGACAAAACTGGGATAATAAATCTGCAACTCATATCACAAAAGACTATTCTCCCTAATATGTAGGGTTCCTAGAAACTGAAGAGAGATCACTAAATAGTCCAACTGAAAAAAGACAAAAAACATAACAGAAGGTCACAGAAAGAAATACAAGTGGCTATTCATATGAAAAGATAATAAATTTTGAGAAATACATATTAAAATTACATCGAGGTAACATTTTTCACCTATCAGATTGTCAAAACACAAAGTCTGACAACACAATCTGGAGAATTGAATACTTTCATGTATTTCTTTCTTTCTTTTTTTTTTTTTTATCCTCACCCGAGGACATTTTTCCGTTTTCTGTTCAGACAGAGCAGGAGGGAGAGAGAGGAAGAGAGAGAGAGAGAAACATCGATGTGAAGGGACACATCGAGTGGCCGCCACCCGCACAACCAACCAGGGCCGGGGACAAACTGCAACCGAGGTACGTGCCCTTAGCGGGAACCGAACCCGGGTCTCTCTGTACCGCAGGCTGACGCTCCAACCGCTGAGCCAAACCGGCCAGGGCTACTTTCATGTATTTCTGATGAGGTTACAAAATGATCCAACCCTATGAACAACCTGAAAATTTTAATACACATGTATGTGTATACATGCACACACACACATACAATAAATATATACACTTGAACGTTACCATGTTCATTGAGCACATCAGGAAGGATATATTAGAAATGTGTCTATGGAGAGGGGAACTGGTTGACCAACAGACTTAGTTTTCCCTCTACACTTCTGTATCTTCTGATTTGTGTAATATATGCATGTATTACCTGCTTAAATAAATTAATAGAACTTTCTTTACTGTTATTAGCATAGTACAATAAAAGGGTATTGGGGTAGGGAGATTATTAACCTACTGTATTTTTAATATCTTGCACACACAAATAGGCTTAATTCTTGGCACTTAGCTCATAAACTAGATAAAGTTAAGCTAAAACCAATATCTCCCTTATCTGTTGGAGATACATTCCAAAACCCCCAGTGGATGCTTGAAACTGCCAGTAGTACTGAACCCTACACATCAATGGTTCTCAACCTTCCTAATGCTGCGACCCTTTAATACAGTTCCTCACGTTGTGGTGTCCCCCAACCATAAAATTATTTTCATTGCTACTTCATAACTGTAATTTTGCTACTGTTATGAATCTTAATGTAAAGATCTGATATGCAGGATGTATTTTCATTGTTACAAGTTGAACAGAATTAAAGCATAGTGATTAATCACAAAAACTATATAATTATATATTGTGAAATATTTATTTCTAATTACAAATAAATAAAATTTTGTCTTGAAGCATGGTGTAGCATGGGTAACAGTCTTAATATAACAACAGTAAACTACATTGCTACATTTTGTGACAGTATGCGTAAAAAGCCAATGTCTGTGCGAAGGTTGAGATTGCTTTTCTCACTAGATCAGAAATTCTTGGGGCAGTCTTTGCAAGAGCACAACAAAGATCATCTTCCACAACAAGTCTACTTCTGTATTTAGACTTGATAACCAACAAGCTGGAAAACCCTGTTTCACAAAGACATGCTGTTGGAAATGAAAGGCACAACACAGTCTCAGACAGAACAGGATAAGACTGCAAACACTTGATCCAGAATTTTGTAACTGGCATTGTAGAGGTATCAGTTCTTGCTGCATCGCTGTTAATAAGTTCAATGAACTCCTCTTGTGCTGTGTTAGGAACATCTTCAACTGACTGTGAATGGGCTTCTGGCAAGCGCAAATAGGTAGATTTGAAAAGTACAATGAAATTTCGTCTGCAAGCATGTGCAAGTGTTCTTTCACAGAAATTATCATCGTAATCCTTTTGCCTGGTTCAATGTCATGTTCCTCAAAGAAAGCAGATAAGGTAGGCAACATGTAAATTTTATTTTCATCCATTTTTTTTTTTTTTCCCAAAGCTGAAGTTTCATTTGGAATGATTGAATCTTTTTAGACAAATCGAGGCATGTTGCATTTGGTCCTTGCAGTGATAAGTTTAACTCATTCAAGATGGCAAAGATGTCAACCAAGTAAGCTATTTTTTGCAGTTCACTTTTATCGCTGAAAAGTGCTTCGAACTGTGGTCTTGCTTTCTGATTAAAAACGTTTTGAGTTCATCATGAAGCTAAGAAAGACATTTTAAAACTTTTCCTGTTGACAACCATCTCACTTCAGTGTGAAATAGCAGAGCATTGTTTGGCGCATCCAACTTGTTGCACAGTTGCGAAAACAGTCGACTGTTTAAAGTGCCTGCCTTTACAAAACTGACAGAACTTATGACGCTTTTCATTACTTCTTGTATCTCTTGTGGCAGTGTCTTCGTTGCTAATATATGCCAATAAATCATACAGTAAGTTCCAACAACTTTTGTTGACTCATTCAGTACCAAACGTTGAAATCCAGATCGACATCCTAGCATAGCTGGAGCACCATCTGTGCAAACACCACAAACCTTTTCCCAAGAGATCTTATGCTCTTTCAGAAATGAATCAACTGTGTCAAATACTTCATGTGCAGTAGTTGTCATTTCAAGAGGTTTGCAAAAAAGAACTCATCTTTAAAGTCGCCATCATTAATATACCTCATGTAAACCAGTAACTGTGAACAGTTTGCAATATCTGTAGATTCATCAAGCTGGATGCTAAATATTGGAAGTGGAGCAGATTTAATTTCCTGGATTACCTGATTAAGAATATCAGCAAACATGTCATCTATTCTTCTGCAGACAGTGTCGTTAGATAAGGAAATTGCACTCAATTTCGTAACAAATTCATCTCCGATCATAACTCGAACAGTGTCTTTAGCCACTGGCAACAGCAAATCCTCAGCAATGGAGCGAGGTTTCATAGCTCTGGCGATTCTGAGTGCCACCAAATATGAACCTTCAATGGCTGCTACATTTTGTTTGTGGTACTTGCCACCAGTGTCAAGTCTAGCTTTCTTTCTTTTTATTTTTTTAATTAATTAATTTATTTTTGTTACAGACGTTTCTCCTTTTCCCCCCACTGATTCCTCCCTCCCCGCCCTGTCCCCAGCTTTGCTGTCCATGTCCATTGTTCATGCATATAAGTTCTGTGGTTTATCTCTCCCCCACCTCCCCTCTTCTGAGGATTGTCAGTCTGTACCCCACATCCACGTCTCTGGGACTACCCCATTCCTCAGACTGTTATGTTCATTATATTCCACAAATAAGTGAGATCATGTAATACTTGTCTTTCTCTGTTTGGCTTTCTTGAGTCCATCGGCTTTGCTTCTAAAATAGTTGGTATCCTTGCCGGCAAAGCTCAGATGCTTGCTATCAAAATGGCATTTTAATTTGTTGGGTTTCATAGATTCGGCTGACAGAACTTCACAACAAATAACACACTGTGGTTTCTCAATTCCTGCTGTAAAAAATCCTCACTATATTTTCTTTTCTTAACGTTCTTCTGTACATGATCCATTGTCATGGGAAGGTTTGCTAATGAAAATAATATATAATAATAGCTTTAAAAAGACAAAAGATGATACATGGTATAGTTTAGTCAATACAGTTCATTAGTTTCCTATGATTTACCATTCTCTGTTGTTGTTTTTTTACATACCTGTTAACTATCACAAGAGGGCAGTATTCACATCAACCACAGCTGAATATAAAAAGACCAATCAGCATTCAGATTAAGTTCCCATTGTATAGATATATTTTTTTGCAGTAGTTGATGATTTTACAGTACATGATTTTACATTTACCCAGTAATTATAATTCATGAAGTGTCGTTTTACCTCCAATACTGCTGCTTTCAACACAGTAGCTGCTTTTTAACAGAGTAGCTGCTTTTTACACAGTAGCTGCTCTCTACACATGTGTGACTATTCTGCATAAGTGCATTATGACACTGACCCTGTCACATACACCTATATTTGTACTAGATGTATGTGATGGGGTTGGCATGATGATGTCATCACACCAGGTACTCGTATGTGGGTGTATCTGCATGTGGGTGGACCCGCCTGGAGACGGATAGAGGAGCGGTGTCTCAGTTCCTAAGACTATCGGAAATATGTGTTTTCCGATGGTCTTAGGCGACCCCTGTGAAAGGGTTGTTTGACCCCCAAAGGGGTCGTGACCCACAGGTTGAGAACTGCTGCTATACATGCTGTTTTCCTACACATATATACCTAAGATAAAGTTTAATTTATAAATTATGCACAATAAGAAATTAACTAATAATAAAATATAACAATATACTATAATAAAGTTATGTGAATGTGGTCACTTGTTCCAGGAGATCCCTTGCAGAAGTCTTTGTAGAGGCTCAATGCTCTCTGCCACACCATGTTGCCGTCAATCAGAACATGTTTTCTGTTCATGTCTTCCACCCACAAATTTAATATCTTTTTCATCTCAACTAAGCATTTATCTCACAATGTTACCGTAACTTTTGCAGTCTGAGATGCTACAGCAAAACCTGCACAATTTCTTTTTCCTTTTCTGTAATGTAATGAATAGAAAATTCCTTCTTACTGTAGCTCTTAGCAACTTCAGCGTAAGATTTTTCTTCCTTTATTAAGTTGAGAAATGATCTTTTCACTTAAAGGAAGCACTTTATGGATTCTCTTTGGCACATCTGAATTCAACATCACTACTCTTGGCTTTGGGACTTAAGTAAACAAAGGTTACTTGAACACAAGCACTGAAATACTGCAACAGCTATAAGTAACAGGTGGGTAGTATATATATATACAGTGTGGACATACCGGACAAAGGGACTATTCACATCCTGGGCAGAGTGGGATGGCTCACAACTGCATCAAGCTATTCAGAATGGTATGCAACTTAAAACTTATGAATTGTTTATAGAATTATTTCTAGAATTTTCT